CTGTTAATCCGAAACGTTCAATGGCAAGCAGACTGACATAGATGGATAGTAAATCTAATTGATGTCGTGATATTGATAAGAATAAAATAAGATTGCAGAAGTCTTAAAAAAGTATAAGACACTGCCTAATAGCCAATTATTATTATTATTATTGGTTGATGCAATTTCTAGTTGTAAATTTATGTGAAAATGATCATAAGAAGTATTAAACGCCTTAAAAACGTTGACAAATACTAGATATTGTTATATTGAATGCAAAATTTGAAAAGTTTAGATACAATAAAAAGTAGAAAATAAAATTACATAAGAATGTTTTTTAAATATGTAAAAGTTTTATTTAACAATAAATATAAAAATATACTAAGGAAAAAATTTACTAAAAATAATATTTTTATAAAATAATACCTCACATTTAATATTTCGGATTAACGAATATAAAAATTTATTTCAACAGAAATATACCTTTAACGCATTTTTTCAGGGTATTTCTGTATTCGTATGACTATAAATAAAAGCTTGGGGGCTCATTAAAAGCGAAATTATGCAGAAAAATTACACAATATTTCGCTTCGTTTCACTACGTCTATTTGATAACTTTAATATCTAATGAGAGCCCAAGCTTTTATTCATAGTTATACGAATACAGAAATACCGTGAAGAAATAGGTTAAAACAGAATTGCCATTTGTAATTTTCATAGTAGCCCCTATTATATGGGTATCAAATGAAAGTACTTGATAAGTCAAACACAATAAGTAATGCGACGTTGTTATCAATCCAATATGACGGACGTCACTGGATTGCCATTTATAATTTTCATAGTAACCCCTATTATATGGGTATCAAATGAAAGTACTTAGTACAAATGACACACAATCAATTGGCATCAATTAAATTATCATATCTTTAATAGTTTTTGAATAAATTGACATTTAATTTCTATCAGCACCCCAAAACGGTTTTCCTTATTTTAACAGAACTAATTGACGCATAATTTATTGGCGAAGTTTAAATCAGTGTATTATTTATAATTTTAACCCTAGCGATGACAAAAGGTCAATTTGGTTTGCTTTCCACTCATGTAAACCATGGAACATTACATTATACAGCTAATTCAGGTAATAATACATAATTAAGTTAATATTACACATTATTAATCTGGTGTCAATTTAATTAGGGCTGTAGGTTATTCTGAACTTCAGTTCATCAGTTTTCTATAAAAATGCCTGGTCGGCGTTTATAGCACCACTACGTTTTGCTGATTTTCCCACAAAAATTCATAGAGAACATTGATTTGTGCGTTCAAATTTGCGAAAACTAGTTGTGAATGTTACAATTTCTAGCAATTATCAAAATGCAGTCGAATTTAATATTTGATACAATTAATTTTAATTGATCATTTTAAAACTTGTTATAAATCATAATTAATAACATTTTTCGATTATTCAGACAGTTATGCGGATAATATTGTTTAAAACAATTAATTTTGTTATTAATGAGTTACATTTCAAATTTTCATTATTAATTTAGGCAAGTATCATGCCTTGTAACTAATTCAATTTAAAAACAGTTGATATTTTAATAAGAGTTTATTAACAACAAGCTGTTTAGAAAATTTATTACTGTCATTATAATTGCTTTTCTTTCCAAAACTTGGCAGTACCCCAAAAGACAGTAAAAGTTATATACAGTATATTTATTTGATATTAACAGAGAAAAGGGTTCAACATTACTTTAACAATGTATTATGCACGTTATTTACGAAGGAGGCTAAATTAATTATATCCGAATACTGTTTCATAAGGCTTTATTTTACAGAAACATTGAAATAATTCGAGATGCCGTTCAATTATGGAGCTTTGATTGTGTCAGTCCTTCATCTCTTCCGAAAGTAGCTGTACCTATGGTCCTAAAGAAAGCATGAAAATGCGATCATTTCATCGGGAATGGAGACAGTGTGCTGTTGCTGAAGAAAGGATTTGTGGCAATGAACTGGTATGTAACAGTATCAATTAAAAAAAGTAAATGAGGCCCCAGAAACTATAATTTCTTATACGTTTGCTTTGTTAGGCAACTTTTAAACAACATTTTTGATATGGCAGATGCAGAACAGCAGAATTAATGTGGAATTGATCTTTTCATCAGTGTGAATGTCACTGATTTACTTGCTTTTAAAGTGGTAATTAATTACTTTTTCTTGCCCGTTTCTGTAGATTGCCCATTAAATGAGAAGGAATTGCAGTGAATTTTGGTGCTACTGAAACAACCGATTGTTTTGATGTCTTCACCTTGCAACATTCTGCAGTTAATGAGAATAGAATGCAATTGGAAATTGTTTGGAAGCCACTGAAACGACAAATTGTCAGCTGTGATATCTCTTCTAGATTTGGTTTGCTCTTCATACTGGTAAATTTTAGAACACTACTTTCTACAGTTAATTAAGGTAAGAATATATTACATATTTAATATTAATTGCTCTATTGATCTAATAGCGTTTCTTTTAACAATTATCTATTGTGCGTAATTTAAATGGACGTTTTAAATATCTATCGTCTACAGCATCTATGGTATTTGGTTTAGCATTTATCTATTGTTTACAGCTTTAAATTGACTATCGTGCCCCTATGGTTTTTTAAATATCTATTGTCTGCATTATCTGTCTATGATTATTTCACTTTTGTCTGTCGGATATGGTCTGTCATTATGTAAACTTACGCTTGTCTCCATTTTATAATTCGTCTATTTTACTTGCTTTCTAGTGCGTTTTTAGGTCTGTTCAATCTCATTCTAAATTAATAGTGTAATTAATATTTTTTTTATGCATTTCTACAGATCGTTCAAGAAATGAGATGGAATTAAAGTTCAGTTTGATAATACTGAAACAACCAGTGTACATGGGTGTGGTCTTTCATGAACTATCTTCATGATGTGCTGTTTTCGTCTTCGCCTTGCAACATTGTGCAGTTAATTTTCAACCGATGGGTGAGAAAAACTGGATAATTCCACTCGAATAACAAATTTTCTGCAGTGGTATTCCTCCTGGATTGGGATTGTTTTTCACACCTGCAATTTTTGTAACGTNTTGGTGGTACTATATGTTACAGTGCGAGTCGAAACTTGTAGACAACTGAATTTTTGATTTTAATAAAATAATCTAATCTTATTTGGTACATAAACGCCTACAAAAATAATTACGATTTTACTACACTTAACACTGTTAACGTAAATTAATTTTTTTCACTTTTTTTCGTATATTTCTCTAATGTGGGCATTTTTACCTTGGGTCCTGTACATTACAATTTTTTTACGACTTGTGATAGAGAAAGTTTTTTACAGTTAAAAATGCGGAGAAAAACACTGTTAGCTTTATCTGAGAAAATTGTGATGAGAGTATAAAAATTTAATAAAGTAATAATTGTCAAGCAGATAGATGCTTCTTAATCAAAAACAGCTCTTAATTAAGAATAAAAGTAAAGTACTCCTTTCTTTAGTTAGCTGTGAGTTGAATTATGTTTATTTTTTTTTGTGATTTCAGTAATAGTCTATAACAGCAATTTCAAGAACAGTTGTAGTTATGTTGAATACTTTTGTACTTGTAATTTTCATAGTAACCCCTATGATGTGGATATGAAATGAAAGGGCTCGATAAGTGAAACACAATAAGTTATGACGCTATTATAAATCCAACGTGACGGTTGTCACGCAATGGCGATTTATAATTTTCAAAGTAACCCCCATGATATGAGTGTCAAATGAAAGGGTTTGATAGGCGAAAGGCAGTAAGTAATGTGACGTTTTTATCAATCCAATACGGCGGACGTCACAGAATTGCTATTTGTAATTTTCATAGTAGCCCCTATTATATGGGTATCAAATGAAAGTACTTGCTAAGTCAAACGCAATAAGTAATGCGACGTTGTTATCAATCCAATATGACGGACCTCACTGGAATGCCGTTCATAATTTTCATAGTAACCCGTACGATATGGGTATTAAACGAAAGGGCTTGATAGGTGAATCAAAATAAGTTAGGTGACGTAATTATCAATCCAATATGGCGGACGTCACAGAATTGCCATTTGTAATTTTCATAGTAACCCCTATTATATGGGTATCAAATGAAAGTACTTGATAAGTCAAACACAATAAGTAATGCGACGTTGTTATCAATCCAATATGGCGGACGTCACTGAATTGCCGTTCATAATTTTCATAGTATCCCCGTACGATATGGGTATCAAATGAAAGAGCTTGATAAGCGGATCAACATAAGTTAGGTGGCGAAATTATCAATCCAATATGGCGGACGTCACTGAATTGCCGTTCGTAATTTTCATAGTATCCCCGTACGATATGGGTATCAAATGAAAGAGCTTGATAAGCGGATCAACATAAGTTAGGTGGCGAAATTATCAATCCAATATGGCGGACGTCACAGAATTGTCATTTGTAATTTTCATAGTAACCCCTATTATATGGGTATCAAATGAAAGTACTTGATAAGTCAAACACAATAAGTAATGCGACGTTGTTATCAATCCAATATGGCGGACGTCACTGAATTGCCGTTCATAATTTTCATAGTAACCCGTACGATATGGGTATCAAACGAAAGGGCTTGATAGGTGAATCAAAATAAGTTAGGTGACGTAATTATCAATCCAATATGGCGGACGTCACTGAATTGCCGTTCATAATTTTCATAGTAACCCGTACGATATGGGTATCAAACGAAAGGGCTTGATAGGTGAATCAAAATAAGTTAGGTGACGTAATTATCAATCCAATATGGCGGACGTCACAGAATTGTCATTTGTAATTTTCATAGTAACCCCTATTATATGGGTATCAAATGAAAGTACTTGATAAGTCAAACACAATAAGTAATGCGACGTTGTTATCAATCCAATATGGCGGACGTCACTGAATTGCCGTTCATAATTTTCATAGTATCCCCGTACGATATGGGTATCAAATGAAAGAGCTTGATAAGCGGATCAACATAAGTTAGGTGGCGAAATTATCAATCCAATATGGCGGACGTCACTGAATTGCCGTTCGTAATTTTCATAGTATCCCCGTACGATATGGGTATCAAATGAAAGAGCTTGATAAGCGGATCAACATAAGTTAGGTGGCGAAATTATCAATCCAATATGGCGGACGTCACAGAATTGTCATTTGTAATTTTCATAGTAACCCCTATTATATGGGTATCAAATGAAAGTACTTGATAAGTCAAACACAATAAGTAATGCGACGTTGTTATCAATCCAATATGGCGGACGTCACTGAATTGCCGTTCATAATTTTCATAGTAACCCGTACGATATGGGTATCAAACGAAAGGGCTTGATAGGTGAATCAAAATAAGTTAGGTGACGTAATTATCAATCCAATATGGCGGACGTCACTGAATTGCCGTTCATAATTTTCATAGTAACCCGTACGATATGGGTATCAAACGAAAGGGCTTGATAGGTGAATCAAAATAAGTTAGGTGACGTAATTATCAATCCAATATGGCGGACGTCACAGAATTGTCATTTGTAATTTTCATAGTAACCCCTATTATATGGGTATCAAATGAAAGTACTTGATAAGTCAAACACAATAAGTAATGCGACGTTGTTATCAATCCAATATGGCGGACGTCACTGAATTGCCGTTCATAATTTTCATAGTATCCCCGTACGATATGGGTATCAAATGAAAGAGCTTGATAAGCGGATCAACATAAGTTAGGTGGCGAAATTATCAATCCAATATGGCGGACGTCACTGAATTGCCGTTCATAATTTTCATAGTATCCCCGTACGATATGGGTATCAAATGAAAGAGCTTGATAAGCGGATCAACATAAGTTAGGTGGCGAAATTATCAATCCAATATGGCGGACGTCACAGAATTGCCATTTGTAATTTTCATAGTAACCCCTATTATATGGGTATCAAATGAAAGTACTTGATAAGTCAAACACAATAAGTAATGCGACGTTGTTATCAATCCAATATGGCGGACGTCACTGAATTGCCGTTCATAATTTTCATAGTATCCCCGTACGATATGGGTATCAAATGAAAGAGCTTGATAAGCGGATCAACATAAGTTAGGTGGCGAAATTATCAATCCAATATGGCGGACGTCACAGAATTGCCATTTGTAATTTTCATAGTCACCCGTACGATATGGGTATCAAATGAAAGGGTTTGATAGGCGGATCAACATAAGTTAGCTGGCGAAATTATCAATCCAATATGGCGGAAGTCACAGAATTGCCATTTGTAATTTTCATGGTAACCCCTACGGTATGGGTATTAAATAAGAGGCCTTGATAAGCGAATCATAATAAGTAATGCGACGTTATTATGAATCCAATATGGCGGACGTCACGGAATTGCTATTTGTAATTTCCAGCGTAACCCCTATGACATAGGTAACAAATGATAGAGCTCGATAGGTGAAGCACAATAACCAATGTGACGTTATTATAAATCCAATATGGCGGACGTCACAGAATTGCGGTTTTATAATTTTCAAAGTAACCCCTACGATATGGGTATCAAATGAAAGGGCTTGATAAGCGAAACGCAATAAGTAATATGGCGTTTTTATAAATCCATTATGGCGGACGTCACAGAGTTGCGGTTTCATAATTTTCATAGTAACTCCTACGTTATGGGTATCAAATGAAAGCGCTTGATAAGCGAAACACTGTAAAGCATGTGAAGCTATTACAAATTCAATATGGCGGATGTCACGGAACTGCTATTTGTAATTTTCAGAGTAACCCCTATAACATGGGTAACAAATGATAAAGCTCGATAGGCGAAGCACAATAACTAATGTGACGTTTTTATCAATCCACTATTGCGGACGTCACAGTATTGCGGTTAATATTTTATCGTAGTTACCCCTACGATATAGGAAGCAAATGAAAGGACTTGATAAGCGAAGCACAATAACTAATGTGATGTTATTATAAATCCAATATGTCGGATGTCACCGAATTGCGATTTATAATTTTCAGAGGGATCCCTATGTATGGTATGAGTATTAAATGAAATCGTTTGATAAGCGATACACCATGAATAATGTGGCGGTCATTCTAAATACAATATACCGGAAGTCTCGTATGATATTTCAATATTATTATGATAAGTAGCTGACCTGATGATGGAGCTGGAATGTGGCCATGACTAAAGATATTTACTCCTTGCTAAGAGAAATAGAGCATTTGAGTGGTGAATGGAATGCGCCCCCCGTGTTGAAGGATGTCATATCTGTAACGTACAGGCCCCAATGCTAAGGTTACTATGTTGTTTTATACCTAGAATCAAAGCTATCCGCAAATGATTATCAGTATGTCGCTTTGAGTAGTCAGATCGCTAAAAGGACTGCGGATCGAGGAACTGGATAACTCGAAACTGACTGGAAAGAAACCATGTAATGATGATCCATTGATAGAAATGATCAGAATGAGAAATATACAGACAAAATAAAATGATGGTTATTTAATAGCCAACCCTGTTATTCTATTTGTGTGATAAATAGATTACAATATGCAGAACAGGGTTTCAAAAGGAGGTGCATGCGAAATACATGTACGTCAGTTCACTTAACTCTTATCTCCAAGGGTCAATATCTTAATTTTCACGTGGTAGAACCTGTTAATCCGAAACGTTCAATGGCAAGCAGACTGACATAGATGGATAGTAAATCTAATTGATGTCGTGATATTGATAAGAATAAAATAAGATTGCAGAAGTCTTAAAAAAGTATAAGACACTGCCTAATAGCCAATTATTATTATTATTATTGGTTGATGCAATTTCTAGTTGTAAATTTATGTGAAAATGATCATAAGAAGTATTAAACGCCTTAAAAACGTTGACAAATACTAGATATTGTTATATTGAATGCAAAATTTGAAAAGTTTAGATACAATAAAAAGTAGAAAATAAAATTACATAAGAATGTTTTTTAAATATGTAAAAGTTTTATTTAGTAACCCGTACGATATGGGTATTAAACGAAAGGGCTTGATAGGTGAATCAAAATAAGTTAGGTGACGT